TTCTGTTCTTCCCTCCCTCTCTCTCTCTCTGCTCTTCTCCTTCCCTCTCTCTGTCTCTCTTACCCCCTCTCTCCAGTTACCCTCCTGCCCCCTCCACAAACCCCTCAGCTCAGGCCAAAGAGAAACTACCGTCCGCTCTTGTGTCCTAATTGGCTATTCATTCCTCGTCTTGCATTCTGATTGGTTAAGTCTGAAATATCATGTCCTAATTGGCTATTCACCCCCCCGTCGGGCATTCTGATTGGCTGAACTTAAATCACCGCGTCCTAATTGGTTATTGACTTTCCATTCGGGTTTCTGATAGGTTAAGTAATAATTCTTCTTCTAATTGGCTCATTATGGGTCTTGATTGGTTAGTCATTCCTCATTAAGTGTCCTGATTGGTTAAATCTAATAAATCGTGTCCTAATTGGCTAATCTTATACCCCGATTCACTTCCCGTCGAGCTTTCTGATTGGCTGACGCTAATCCGCACCTTATAATTGACCTTGACCTTATCTCCAATCCCTCCCTCTGCCTCTTCAATCACCCACTTCCCTCCTCTCCAATCCCTAACATCCACAACCCCCCCACCTACACAAAGACCCTCACTCACTCCTCTCCCCCCCTCCCCGACCATGACAGCTCACCTCATAAATACAGCTTAATCAACAAAATGAAACTCCAAAATCGTTCACTTCCGGCGTGCCAATACCCGCCTTCTTCAAGTGGCACTACAGGAGAGTATAATAGTGCCACAGTGCCAGTGATAAGTGTCTGGGCAATTACAGAGGCGGGGTAGTGAGTGATGTTGAAGTGGAAGGGAAGTAACACAGTGGTGGGGGAAGTGACGGGGAATTTTGAATAGATATAGGAAAAAAACCAAGAGAAATGGCCCTGTTTTGGTAGGGAAGTAATAAAGTGACGGGGGGGGGAAGTGGCGGGGAAAGTAACACAGGTGGAGTTAAGTGGTAGGGAGAAGAGGTAATGGTGATAAGATGTTGAAATGTTACATGAAGTGGCATAGGGGGGGGACGTAAGTGACGGGGAAGTAGTGGTATAGAGACGGGGTAGTAGCGGGGTAGTGGCATAGGTGGGACGTAAGTAACGGGGAAGTAGTGGCATAGAGACGGGGTAATAACGGGGAAGTGGCCACATAGGAGAGGTAAGATGGTATACTTAAAGTGGCATTGCAAGGGTGAGGAAGTGGCAAGGGAAAGTGGCAAGGGGAAGTAGCAAGAGTGAGTGGGTAATAAATGGCCATATAGTGATTCGAGTTGTAGAAGAAGAAAGGGAGGAGAGGAGGAAGAGTAAAAGGAGGAGGAGGAGAAAGAAAAGGAAGGTTAAGAGGAAAAGAGAGGAGGAGGAGAGGGAGGACGAAGAGAAGGAGGATAAGAGGTAAGAGTAACAGAAAGGAGGAGGTGGTGGAAGAAGAGGAGAGGTAAGAGGAAGAGGAGGAACATAAGAGAGAGAACTGGTAGTGTCATATCAAGGTGCTGGCTGCTGCTAGTGGTAGTGTCATAAAAGTGCCACTCACACCCCTCCCTCCCTCTCCCTTGACACATCTATGGCCCTATGTGACCCTGGCAGCACTTGACCTCAGGAGTGCCTAAGGTCAAGGCGGCGACTCCTTGAAGTAAGTAACTCGCCCCCCTCCCTACCCCTCCTTAGCCACTTATAACCCCACCTGCTGTACCTCACGGCGCCCCCTGGAGGAGAAGCTGAAGGAGGAGGAGGAGGTGGTCTTCATAAGGTACCCCCCAAGGCTTCTCCTAGTCGTCCTCCTATGGTCTCCGGCGCCTTTTGTGGACTACATCGTCTCCGTCTACCCTCAAGGTCCTCTCCTACAATGACCTCAAGACCTCATCTGGGTTCTCCTCTTGGGGGTCTTGACCTCTCTGTGACCTCTATATCGCTTTCCTGTGATACCTAGGGCCTTCCTTTAGCACCTATGGCCTTGTTATGGTTCCTAAGACCGCGGTAGCTTCATGCATTATACTTCAATACTCATTTTAGTTTTTCAAGGACACCATAATTTTGATCTCTCTCTCCCCCTGGTACACCGTGACGACCATCTGGTAGACACGACACACTATGAAGGTCCACCGTGACGACCATCTGGTAGACACGACACACTATGAAGGTCCCGTAAGAGCGGCCACCACTGTTTATTTACCTTCGGTTTTTCTCACCTGTGTGACGCAATGTTCCTCCTCTCACCCTATACCTGTCTGGTTGGTGATTGGCTCATCAGAAATACACGAATTAAATGATTGGCTGATCAGTAATGAATTAATTAGTGGTTGACTGAGGGGTGATTGACACCTCCGAGCTGAATCTATGTCGTCTTGAGTTGATCGACTCCCTAAACAATGTGGCCAAGGTTGTGTGCTTATTATTAGAAGTGTGGCCTTGTGTGGCACCTGTGGCCTTGTGTGGCACCTGTGGTCTTCTATAGCATATGGCCCTCTATGGCACAGCCTTTCTGACTTGTAGCTGCTTACCTGACGCCCCTAAGCCAGGCTAGATAACTGCGGTCTAGACCAGCCGGTGTGGCAGGACTTGAGCCAGTGTGGTGCCGACTGGTCACGTCCTGGTCTACGATTTACAACCAACACCTGCGTCCGTTTATCCGCCCGTCCGTCTGTCTGTCGCTAACACCAGTGCCACCACTCCGGGGGCCTCTCTGGGGAAGGTGCCACTACCAACACCTCCCCCCGACCATCTTACACCTCTTCCTTTACATCAACACCTTCATAACCGCCTCCTTACACTCCCTTACACCTCCTTACACCCTCTTCCTCCCACCCCCTCTCACATTCTTCATCTCCTTCCCCTACACCTTCACCCCCTCTTTCCATCCCACATTATCTCCCCAACAGATTCTCCCCCTCTCCACCCCCATCACATTCTCCCCCTCTCCATCCCTCCATCACATTCTCCCCCTCTCCACCCCTCCATCACATTCTCCCCCTCTCCCCCCCATCATCTTCCCAACACTTATTCTCTAGATGGAATATGAGATCCTCCCCAAACCTACTTGAGGATCTTCTGGGGGTCTTCATATGATCAGCCCAGTCGCTCATCGGTCCACTACCTACAACCAACCACAACCACCACACCTAACCACAACCACCTAACCTAACCAAACCAACCTAACCAAACACAACCTAACCAACCAAACCAACCAAACCCCTATAACCCAACCAAAACCTAACCTAACCCCTAACCAAACCTAACCATAACCAAACCAACCCTAACCTAACCTAACCTAACCTAACCCTAACCAAACCCTAACCAAACCTAACCTATCTCCAACCCTAACCTAACCTCAACCACCAAACCTCCCCCAAACCTCCGGGAGATCATTGATACTTTGGAAGATCTTCATATAGTCCTCTAGATAAATAATTTACCGTGAGAAACATTACTAGAGGGAGGAATCACACTGTCAGAAACATTACGTGAGACAACGACACTGACAGAGACTAGCCGGGATCTCTACCCTCCTATAACTGCCCTGACACTACCTAAGCTAGTTTAAGCCTGCCCTACTCTACCCTACCCTGCCCTACCCTACTCCCAGGCTGCCCTTGAGATGCCCTGGGTCGGTCTTTGTTGCCAAGTTGATCACATTTACCCCAAATCAATCTATAGTGCCCCAAGCCGTTCCTACCTGCTCCCAAGCCGTTCCTACCTACTCCCAAGCCGTTCCTCTACTCCCAGCCGTTCCTACCTACTCCCAAGCCGTTCTACTTACTCCCAAGCCGTTCCTACTTACTCCCAAGCCGTTCCTACCTACTCCCAAGCGGTTCCTACTTACTCCCAAGCCGTTCCTACCTACTCCCAAGCCGTTCACCTACCCCCAAGTCGTTCCCTAACTACCCCCAAGCCGTTCCTACCAGCCCAAAGCGTTCCTACCAGCCAGCCAGTTCCTACCAGCCCATTCCTACCTACCCCAGTCGTTCCTACCTGCCCAATTTAAGACGTTCACCGCCCCCAAGACGTTCTACCAGCCCCAGACGCCTACCAGCCAGACGTTCCTACCAGCCCCAAATAATTCACAGCCGATGATGAAACGTCACAGCTGACACACAAGTATTTTCACTTGTTTTTAAATAGCACAGTCAGCTATTAGGTGAACTCCGCTTAATAGACTATCTCCTTTAATGAGCTAATTGGCAGTAGTTCTAACTAAAGCTGCTGTAATACCCCACCATTATAACCAAGGTGATTAGATAAATTACCAATATTATCCTAAATTGCATACACAAGACTTAACTGACTCACTTTTTTCGGTAATATTTCCAAACTCTTGTTCTTGAGTCCTGGAAATACTGTGTTACATCCAGCTTCTATATCATCCCTCGCCTTATTTCTCCAGGATAGGGTTGTCACGTCATGTTCCTGTCACCAGTAATATCCTGTAACTTCCCCATGATAGCTACCGGCACCTGACGTGGCAACAGAGGCAGCTGGATAGTCGTCAGTCTACGTCCTTCACCTTCCATGTTTACACTGAACAAATGGAACACCGCCCCCCCACTGCCCCCTATTTTATTTCGTTGATCGACTGTGGCTTCGGCTTGCCTTTCACTCTTTTATTAATTAGAATATAAACCAAACATAATTTACACGTTTATACTGAAGTGTTTTGGGTATTATAATCAGTAACAATCATCTGAGAGTGATAAGGGAGCCATACGTTTCGAAAAAAATGCTTTGGTTATTATCGTAGTCGTACTAACCACCTGTTAGGTTCAGGTTGGCGGTACTGTTACGAATGATGCCTCAAGTAAACCTGCACTACAATTGTTTCAGAAGGAGGTAAAGTTCAAAGGCAGGGATGGTGATAGTGGATGAGTAGTGTGTTGTGGCGTAAGGTCATACCACAGTAGAGTGAAGGGAGGTTTTGTGTTGTGTTGTAAGGTCAGATCACAGCAAGGTGCAGCGTGGGTATAGAGGCTGTGTTGTGTCATCAGCTCACAGCATGACAAAAAAAAAGGGTTGTAGAGACTTACCACGACCTTCTAGTGGAGAGAGGCCCAGGTGAGGCCTGGGGGGAGGTGTGGAGGGACTGGTAGAGGTGCTCCATGTAGGGGGGGATGCGGTAGGGGGGGTGGGGCCGGGAGCTCCCCGGGAGGTACCCAGGGGCGCCGCGCCCAGTCTCCCGCCCACCAGGGGAGACAACTCTAGTGACAGCTCCACTCACGCCCAGCCTAAGGAAGACAAAACTCTGGTTAACACACATACATATAACACCTTCATACAGTAATAAACATAATATAAAACGAATACATAAGTTATATAAAGAACACGTCATATAAAGTGTCTACCATATAAGTTATAAGAGTTAGAGGCTTTATTTAGTCATTTAGTGAACGGATGAACAGCACGCCTGAGATGGATGACCTGAACAAGCTCTTTGGTCAGCCTCCGTCCACGTTCATATATCACCCGTCGCCATTGTCTCGCGGGGTGTCGAACGGAGGTCCTCGACATGTTAAGTTAGTTTACTGGTGAGGTGTGGTGAGGTATGTTTGGTTGGCGCCGGTGTTCCCCAAGGTCCAGGGACCAGTTGCTGGGTCCTTTTCTGTTCTTATACACCAACGATAAGAAGCAAGACTCGAGGGTAAATAACATATGCCTCTGCTAAGACTCTGAGATCATTATACAGAGTTACTTAACAATGTGTACAGTAGAGAGAGTAAACCAGACAGACAGACAAATATTACTGTATTTATTTGTTAGGTGAACGAATATATTTATTTTTTTAATATCGTCAGAAAGTTGATGAATGGACAGAGAGTCGAGGCAGAAGAGTGTTGGAGTATACGATGGGCAGAGTGATGATGATGATGATGATGATGATGGTAAGTCCTTCAACAACAGTGGATTGATACAGATTGATGATGATGATGATGATGATAAAGCCTTCAACAGCAGTGATACAAGTTGATATGATGATGGTGATGATAATGATGATGGTGAATAATGTTACTTTTTTAGGAAGAAATAAACTAGAGTGATGGTGTAAGTGTAGTGGGTTACCTTGGCCACGGTGTGAGGATGAGGGTTGCCAGCTGCCAAGAGCAACAGACAGGTTGATCACAAGATCACGGGGGTTCGAACGGTTTTGGCCCTGTACTGAGACACCGAACCACCAGCCAACACCAGACCACACCAGACCCACATCAGGACCAGACCAGACCCACACCAGACCTAACCTAACCTAACCTAACCCACGGTTCTCAACGAAAACGGACAAAATGGCGTCAAAACTGGACTGTGCCTTTACCATCTAATTGGCTCAAAGTGTGTGTGTGTGTGTGTGTGTGTGTGTGTGTGTATTCCACCATTTATGTCTGTCAATATGTGCAACTTGTCCTTCACTGTGTACGTCTTTCTCTCTAGGGTATGTGTGTGTACGTGCCTATATGTGTAATACTTATGCATGTGTGTACATGTGTGTGTGTGTACAGAACCGTCAGAGAGGAGGGCAGATGGGTCGCGGGTGAGTGAGGTGTGTTTGTTTACATCGGCCAGCTGTTAGGAGCACCTCCCTCCCTCCTCACCCCCCCCACCGGCCCCGTCCCAGCTGAGTGCCTCGACTCATCCAGCCGTCCCTCCCTCCTTCCTTCCTTCCTCCCTCCTTCCCTCCCTCCCTTCTTCCTTCCCCCCTCCTCCCTTCTTCCTTCCCTCCCAGGCTACCCGCATAACTGGCAATATGTACGTGATTGGCTGCTAGTACGTGATTGGCTGCTCGTACGTGATTGGCTGCTCGTACGTGATTGGCTGCTCGTACGTGATTGGCTACTCGTACGTGACTGAATACTCTTAGATTCCAATACTTATCGATATATTTACTTCCTGTCAATGATTATACCGTACGTGAGTAAAATATTCGTCCGTGAAAATCAATCCATTACACTGTGTACGTGAATAACTGTTAGTACGTGATCACACTCTATTTTAATCTGTCTTATGATAAATATTTATTATAATTACCATTTAACTCTGATCAATAACTGTACTATAATTAATTTACTATAAGATCCCATCTATTTAATTGTATAATCCCAGAACCAATTAGAGGGAATATTAATTGAGTCATGTGGTGTCCGTGCTGTCCGTGGTTCTGTACTTAGTGATGTATGTACGTGATTGTTTTGATATATGACATATAGGTACTATATTACCCTTCCCACGAGCTGCTATCATCATCATCATCATCATCATCATCATCACCATCATCATCACCATCACCACCACCACCACCACCACCCCACCACCACCACCACAACTCGAGTCACTTTCACCAACCACCATTATCACCATCGGCGTCACCATCATTTTTCTTGAGGAGGAGACAGCAAGAGAGGGTGTTTATTAAGCACCATGAGAAGGCATCATCCCTACCATTGTCTGCCATGAACAATGGTAGCCGCGTCAACCACCATCACCATCATCCCAAACACTTACTCATTCACTCACTCGACACACTCACTCCTCGACCTCACTCCTCCATACTCAAACACTACCAACCATACGCTATCACCATACATTATCACTATCATCACCACTATCATCATTTACATATTATAAGGTATCACCACCACCACCACCACACCCTATCACCACAACTACCACCACCACCCACAACTACCACCACCACCACCACCACCACCACCACCACAACTACCACCACCACCACCACCACCACCACCACTATTACAACTATCACCCCACCAACATTACCATCACCCTCTTCCTCCTCCCTCCCCTTCCTCCTCCTCTAGAGATCTCCCCTCCCCTTCTCCTCCCCCTCAAGAATGGGAGACCCATCCTCTGTCAACATAGAGGAAATAACTGCAGTTGCTGAAGAGACACCCTTTCTTTTCCTCCTCCCTACCTTCCCCTCCCCTTTCTCCACCCTTCCTTCTCCCTACCTTCCCTCCTTCCTCCACCCTTCCTTCCCTCCCCCCCTCTCTTCCTTTCCTTCCCTAGCTAGAATAAATCCCCCTCCCCTTCATTCCTTTGTTGAGACTCCCCTTCCCCCCACTCAGCTTGAAGATCTCCCTTCCCTTTCTCCTTCTCTTCCCCCAATTTGGAGATCTCCTCTTCCACCTCCAACTTCTCCTCCTCAGTTTGGAGACCCCCTCCCCTCTCTTCTTCTCCTCCCCAGCTTGGGAGGCTCTATCTCCTCCCCCTCCCAACTCCCCCCTTCCCTCCCCCAGAAGCAGGCGATAGGATACCATGCAGACGAGGAGAGTGAAAGACGGTATGCACTCAAGATGATGATGACCTCTCCTTCCCTTCCCCTCTCCTCCCCTACCCCTTCCAACCCCCACCTCTGCCACCCCTCCCCATAACATGAAGAACCTCCCTCCCCCCCGCCCCCCCCAGCTCAGGTGTCTCCAGGCGGCGTCTCAACCAAACAAACAACCAGCTACTGAAAATACACAGACGACACATGTGGGGCGCTGTATTGCCCTGACCGTCTCCCTCCTTCCCCTCCCTCATACCCTTACCCTCCTCCCCTCCTTATACCCCCCCTTACCCTCGTCCCCTCCTTATACCCCTTACCTCTCCTCATACCCCTTACCCTCGTCCCCCTCCTTATACCCCATTACCCTCTCCTCCTAACCCCTTTAGCTTCCCCTCATACCCCCTCCTTCTTTCCCTTACCACTCATACTTCCCCCTCTCCTTGTATCTCTCTCCTCCCTCATACATCTACCTCTTTCTCTCTCTCTCTCCCTTTTCCCTCACCCTTAACCTCACCTCCCTTCGCCCTATCCAACTCCCCCCCAACCTCTCCTCCTAACCCCTCCCCAAATCTCCCTCCCCTAACCCCACCCCCTCTTACCCCAAACTTCCGCTCTTATAGTTAAGTTTGTCTGTTGGTCTGAGTGTTGCTCTTAGAGGCCTGAGTGTTGGTCTGAGTGTTGCTCTTGAGGTCTGAGTGTAGACCTGAATGTTGGTCTGAGTGTTGGTCTGAGGTTGCTCTTGAGGCCTGAGGTTGGTCTGAGGTGCTCTCGAGTGTGGTCTGAGTGTTGAGGCCTGGTGTTGGTCTGATTGTTGCTCTTGAGGTCTAGTGTAGACCTGAATGTTGGTCTGAGTGTTGGTCTGGGTTGCTCTTGGTCTGAGTGTTGACCTGAGTGTTGGCCTGTGTGTTGGTCTGAGTGTTGCTCTTGAGGTCTGGTGTTGACCTGAGTGTTGCCTGGTGTTGGTCTGAGTGTTGCTTGAGTGTTGGTCTGAGTGTTGACCTGAGTGTTGGACCTGAGTGTTGGTCTGGTGTTGGTCTGAGTGTTGGTCTGAGTGCTAGTCTTGAGGTCTGGTGTTGACCTGAGTGTTGGTCTGAGGTTGCTCTTGAGGTCGTGTTGACCTGGTGTTGACCTGAGTGTTGACCTGAGTGTTGGTCTGAGTGTTGGTCTGAGTGTTGGTCTGAGTGCTAGTCTTGAGGTCTGAGTGTTGACCTGAACCCATATGAACCTACAAATTACCAAACAAACAACAAGTAATCTCTATATCCATAACCCAGTTGTGGGGAATAAAGAAATTGTACGTGCCGTGGTGTCCTTGTCCGTAGATCTGTCCTTAGTGTACGTGATAACTCTTGAAGGAATGGACGGATTGTGTTGAAAGTTGAGCCAGATATTGTTCGTACCAAGAGCCCAGAGTGAGTCAATTATTGTCATTATCCGATTTAATTTGACGATTTGGCGGCCATTTTTGCTGCTATTTTGGGTTAGTTTAGGTTAGGTTAGTTTAGGTTGGATTATGTTAGGTGAGATTAAGTTAGGTGAGATTAAGTTAGGTGAGGTTAAATTAGGCTAGGTTTGGTTATGTTAAGTAGAATTTCGTTAGATTAAGTTAAGTTCAGGGTAGAGTTAGGTTAGATTAGCTTAAGTGCGGTGGTGATGAAAAGACTACTACTACTACTACTACTACTACTAATACTACTACTACTACTACTAACTCCTTGTCCACTCCATTCACAAGAAAACTCTCCACTTAAGTCTTTCCATTCACAAAACCACAATGTTTACATTGACAGCAGCGCCTCAAGCGGCTAACACTGTACCTGACCGCTCAACACACACTCTAGTTTGCTCAGTAAAT